AGTCCTTCTCTGCTCATATCCCCCGCCATTATCGTAGTAATAGCTATTATCATCTTTGTGGCCGTTCTCTTATTTCTTCTTTGCTTGAGAAAAATTTTACTAGTAAGTTTCAATGATACTTAATCTATCATTTTATTATTAAATATAGAGTCATTATGGTAACAGGGACTGGTACCCGGCTTATTGTAAGGACTATGAGTGCCAGTGTGGTGGTTGTGGCCAGTGTTGTATTCTGCTAGCACAGAAATGTGATTGCCAGACCCCCAGTTCTGGAACCTTGCTAGATCGTATTTGTCCTTCTCAACAAGTCAGTCTGCTATTGAATTTCAAGCACAAAATGTATATCCTGCTCTTTTTATCTTATTTTGTAGCAATGCAGTACGTTTTTTGGTCAAGTTTTCTCATGCCACTGTTTTAAAGTTGTATCAGAATATTGCAAAGGTGTTCATTTGTGTCCAGAATCAACTGGCCCTGGGCTTTGTGCACAGGTAATGCCTCCTCCTCTTCCTATTATTATTAGTAGTAATAAAATTATCAACAGTTGTATCATGATTCTTTTTTGTAGTGCCCTGAATGTGATTGTCCGTGTAACTGTCACTGTGAGTGTAAGCCGCCTGAATGCGATGAAATTAATTGTGGCTGCTTCAAAATCAGCTTCAGAGGAGGATCATAGTGCACTGGCAGAAAGTTCAATTTTTTATATCAGAAAAAAATCAATAAAAATTAATTATATAGGCGTGGCTATTAGTGGGTGTGGCTCATTAAAAAAAGCATGGCGACTCCTCACCAACTACCAGAGAGAGATTCTAGAGAAGGCAGAAGGCCTCTAGTAAGACATTGCCAGCTTTAATAGTCTCATATTGTATGTATCTACAGGTCCGTATCCCGCTGTGGTATAAAGAAGGAGCGCCTTATAGGTACAACTGGAGAACAGCTCTTGGTTTCTTGCCAGGGATTGTGCTCATAAGCGTCATATGTGGGAAAACGTGAGTAGCTTTATGTGGCTTATACATTTATTATTCATTTTTTTTAGATTTGTTGCTTCTGCATTGGTTGTTCTTATGGCTAATTTATTATTAAATTCATTAGGTTATGAATTAATGTAAGGATTGGTGCATGTACATTTATAAAAATTATTTTGTTATTTTTTAGTCAATTAGGATTAATTGTTGCTAGCGTTTTTGTCTGTCAAGCTGTTAATCTTTATTGCATGATACCGTTGATATGGTAAGTGAAACCTGTAGTACCCACATGTACATTGATTTATTTTCAATCTTGTCTCTCTCTCTCTCTCTTAGGCATTCAGTTCTTAATCTTCCACTATTTCTTATGTTTCATGCTTTTATGGTTGTAGTTGGTATGTTAGAGTATACTATAGCAGCTAATTCTTCTCTCCATTTCTCTTTTTCTTCATCTCACTCTCTCTAAGGTTTATGGGCTATCATCCAAAATGATGAATTTCGAAAGCAAGATCCAAGAGTCACTTTGGTAAGACGATGAATTGCTCTCTTTGCTAGTTCATCTTCTTACCAGTGACAGAGAAAGGC